TAAATGACGCCGTGCGAGTCACCGATGCCCATGTGCCCGATGAACGGGAGGAACCACGTGATGACCGGCAGCGGCGACCACACGATGCAGAACGGGAACCGGTCGCGGGCGACGTCAATGGCCGGCGCGTCGGCCACGGCCGCGTCGTCGTGCTTCAGAGCCATGGTGCAAACTGGCGTATCCGGCGTTTGTGCCACGATAACCGGATGTAAACGGCTCACGGATGGAACCGGTTACATACTACAACCTTGAAAATCAAATGAAATCAAGTGCCACGTGCGCGATGTATACCAACAGCGTCAAGTCGCGCTCAGTACTTGCTTTTTTTAGCGATGCACCCTGCAAGTAGCAAGACTGTGCTATAATAGAGATAGCACCAGGAGGACGGGCGCACGCGCTGCACCGTTGTCAGTGGAGCAACCCTTCTGTGATAGCGTGCAGACAGGTTCAATGTGCAAGGATGGACTTGGTTCTACAGTATGAGTTGTATACTTTATCGTGCTAAAGCTATGTCCTACGACACTTTGTTGTGTCAAGGCGCGATTTGAATCGAGTCGAGGTCCGTGCTGCTGACGGGCAGTGGCTCGGCCAGGATGGGGGGCGTCGTCACGAGCGACGGCTTGAGCTTGCGCTTGAGCACGCTGAGAAGGTATGCGACGCCAAAAAGGATAAAGTGGCCGAGGAGCACACCAATGTACCAGCCAATCGCGCTGTTCTTGTCGAGGTCCAAAAACTTGTACGGCCACGACCCGAGCCACGTGGCGTATGAGAGGCACGCCCACGCCGCGTAGAGCGCTGGCCAGAGCAGACACGCATACACGATGCTGGCTTTGCCGACGTAAAAGTCGTTGGCGGCAAACTCGAGCACCAAGAGTATATTGTTGACGGCGTGCTCGGCGACCGAGTAAGCCGAGAGGTCATAGCCAGGCCCGTAAAGCAGTGCCCAAAAGACAATAAGGACAACGAAGCTCACGGGGAGGACCCAGCCAAAGAGGGTGTTGAGTGTTCGGAGCTCGGGCGTCACGTGAATCGGCGCCTTGGCTGGCAGCATCGCGAGCCGCAGCGAGAACGTCGTCGCCCAGACAAAGTAGATGAGCTGCAGCGTAAAGTTCCAGATCGTATAGTACTTGTAGATCGAGAACCCATTTTCGACGAGCTCGAGAAGCAAGATGACGATATAAAAGATGCTGCAACCGCCGCGGTAGATGGTCGCCACCACGGGCTGCGCTCTCGAGGGATACGCAAAGTAGACGTCGGCCACTGCGGCTTGGCTGCGGCAATGGCGGGATATGATGTACGCGATGCAGCCTGCGACAACGACGCCAATAAAGACGCCAACCAGAATCGCCTGGAGCACGAGGACCATGGCGGTCGGTCGTTGGGCGTCAACTGTCAAGTGGCGCTAAATTGGAACGCATCAAAATATAGACCGCGACGTTGAGACAACCGCTCGCTTGCCAAAGGTTCCGTGCACTCGTATGAGGTTCCGTGCTCACCTTGGTGATCGAGTTACTGGTACACGCGTCGTCAGCACACGAATCGAGTCGCGCGGACGCCAGACGATGTCATAGCTTATGACATCACAAGCTCGCATCGCGCAATCAAACCTCGGCTGCATTGCGAGCCCATATTAGAAGCATTCAACACCAATATCGGTGGCATCGGCTTGTCAGCGACATGTATATGCCAATGGATCAATCGAGTTCCGACTTGGCAGCCCTGCTTCAACTCTACTATTGTCGCGAAGTCGTGGCGGGAAGACCGCTAAGATCGCAGTACGGATAATCTCGTGTCTGTATCCGGAAGTGCAAAGTGATTGGCGCAGAGGTTGATTGTTCACGATGGCGACGCTCCGAGCCCGCGCGCAGCAAGAGAAGGTCCATGCTCGGCCGCGCGACCTCTTCCTCCCGTTCACGCCCATGGAGAAGGAGGAAGCGGAGATTCTCGTGGACCGCGTGGCCAAAGAGGCCGGCGCGCTTGTTCTGAACGAGCCGACCAAGTCGCTCCTCAAGCCGCTGCGGCCGATGGCCCTTGGTGTCAACGAAGTCTCGCGGCTCCTCGAGCACCGCCACGCACGTGTTGTCGTCATGTCCTCGGACGCCTCGGTGCTTGGTATGTGCAGCCACGTGGCTGTCATGGCCATTCAGCTTAACGTCCCGATCTGTGTCGTCCCGCTCACCTCCGCTGCCCTTGGCGCGATTTTCAAGCTCAAGCAAGTCTCGGTCTTTGGCTTTCGCACTCTTCCAACGGACGCCAACAGCGTCGCAGAGCTGGAGGACACCCTTGTGCAGCTGCGATCGATCCAAGATTTTGTCGTGGCCAAGGCGTCGCCCGTTGTGCACGCGCAGTAGAAAGAACCGCCAGCGTGGCATATCGGACTGTAGACCTCTGGTTGACGCAAACTATTGTCCATCAATATATATATAATATTAGTGCATACGGCTACTGCTTCCGTGCTGCATTGAAGCTTTGCGTCTGGTCTTGCGTCAAGCATTTTGACGGGCATGCTGCCTTTGCGGTCAAGTTGAGAATGAATGTCTTCACACAGATTTTGTCTTTGCAATGTGCTTCGAAATTCGAACAAATCGAAGAATCCGCAATTTGGATCCGGAATGCCACGTCGCTTCGAAAGATTTGGTGGCATGCAAGGACCGAGCAGCAACAAAGCCGACAGCATGAGCTCTGCCGAGACGACGTGCGATGCAAGCACCATCGTGCACGGGGCCATTGCCGACAAGGCCGACCTCGAGGCGCGCCTCCACGAGCTCACGCGGGCCTGGGGCCTCACACCGCTCGGCGAAAACATCGCCTATCTATGGCTCACCAAGGCCGCAACCGACAGCACGGGGAACCTCAGTCGCTTGCGCAAGTGGGCACTTATGCAGCTCAACCACCAGCGCCACCCAAGCAACATGTCATCGTGGCAGCGCGGCTGCCCAAACGTGCTGCCTGGCTTGCGGGCGCAGCCCGTGTGGCGGAACCATGACATGTTTCCTTGGATCAAAACCCTCGAAGCTGCGTTTCCGCTCATTCGAAAAGAGCTTCTCGACTTGAAGAACGACCCGACGGGCTTTCAGCCATACCGCGCGCCGACGTGGGCGGGCGTTCGACCGGTGCGCGCTGCCTCATCGAATTGTGCAACTCATAAGTCATGTAGGCTGCGGACGGTATCGGAAGCGTTAGCCACGATGCTGGCGACTGGAACGTCTACTATTTGTTCCTTCATGATGTTGACTACGCGGCGCAGCGGGCGCGGTGCCCGATCACGACCGCGCTTCTCCAGAGCATTCCGCACCAGTACGAGCACGCCTTCTTCTCCGCACTGGCACCCAAGACGCACATCACCAAGCACCACGGCCCCACCAACAAGAAGCTGCGCGTGCACTTGCCGCTCGTTGTGCCAAGTGGCGACGCGTGTCGCCTCCGCGTCGGCGACGATGTCATTGTCGTCAAGGAAGGCGAGTGCTTTGTGTTTGACGACTCGTTTGAGCACGAGGCGTGGAACGAGCACGCGAGCCAGAGCCGGCTCGTGCTCGTCCTGGACGTGTGGCACCCCGACTTTTCGGCACCCGAAGTCAAATTCTTTCAATTTCTCCGCAAAGCCCAGCTGCGTCTCGAGCGCAAGGCGAGCGAAAACGACGCGGATGGCTTCTACCAGATCCTCCAGGACGCCCACGCGCTACCGACGAACGTCGACGCTATATTTGCAAACGGAATTTAACTCAAAGCGCTTGATATATTTCAAAGAAGCCCCATATTTGCCAACTGTCTAAATGTGCGAAGCCCACACAGACGGCAGATCAGCAGCACTGAGCGGCTCTTGGTTTGTTGCGGATGCTTGTAGCGTCAGCCAGCATAGTGCGTATTCTTGCATGGTTGGCTGCAAGATCAGGGTGGGCACTATCCCGTACAAAATAACCCTAACCCACCCTATTAAACCATCTGATACCCCATAATCCGAGTCGGAGATGTGATTGTCAGCTACTACACAGCACTGTCAACCAAAATGGAACGAAATCTACCCACCCACCATGCCTACCCACTCCATTTCGTCCTTACCTGCTCCCTACCGGGATACATTGTCACTTGCCAGTGGCAGTCGACCACTGGTAAGTGGCAAATTCCCTTAACCCTCCCGCGCCGGGAGCCCTATTCTAGGCCAAATAAACAGCTTTCGCCAAAAGCATTAAATACTAGTATACATGACAGTATGACGGAATTACGAGTTTACTTTCGTTTGCTCCAATGTAACAGCGATCTCGTAGATCGTTGGCCAATTCTCCGGGTGGAACTGCAGACAGCTCTCACCAAGGACGCGGACCCACGGAGGCCGATGAGGCGTGAACGACGGCTTGATCGTGCCGGTCATGACAGCACCAACGATGGCTGGGTCTGCGAAACGCTGGCCCGTTGTCAGGTTCTTGACATCCTTGTAGGGCAGCTCGTGCGTGCCTATTGTTCGAGTGTTCAAGATATTATACTGGCCCATCAGATATGTTCGCGCCAGGATCTAGGGGATATTTCGTAGAGCACACAGTGCAATGTGTTCATCTGCGAGAAGCTTGGTGACCATTACAAGAGTCAGTACACTGCTAGTACACTGGCTGCTCACCCAGGCTGCAACTCTGCTTTGTTTTAGCTCCGTGGGCGCCGGCATGGTCCGAGGACGTCGCACCAGCACTCACGCAAGCAAGGAATGTAGGTCACATATGAATCTACAGTTCGTATTGCGAGGGAGTATACCCACAATGAACCAAAATGATCAAGATAAAGGTTCGTATCACGAGGTCCATCTGCGTCCAAGGTCTGGCTCGGTGGTTCGGATCCACCGCTTCAGCCGGCCTTCACGTAGAGCATGACCATGGAGCGCTGGCTGGGCGTTTGCCGCTTCCTGACGAGCAAGGAGATGGCGCGCCTGAGCCACACGAGCCGCGACGTCCGCGGCGTCGTCGAAGCGGTCGCCGTGATCTTTGCCAAGGAGTCGCCTGCGCTCGCCTTCCTCTTCGCGGACTCGAGCATCGCCTTTGCGCGCCTCCCGCGCATCTCGATCTTCCAGTGGCTTCGCTGCGTGGAGCTCCAGCTCATCAAGTCGCTGCTGCTCCACGCGTCCAGTGTCGCCGAGACAGCCAGCGACGACGTCGACTTGTCAGCGGTTGCTTGGACGTCGTCGGCGCACGTGACCGTGCTCGTGTCCAAGGCGTTTGTGCTCACGAGCAAGAAGCAGTGTGACCGCGCCGAGAAGCTTCTTCGTCAAGGCCCCAAGGCTATCTCGAGGCTGCGCGAGCTCGCGTCGATCCCGCCGTCCTCCAAGAAGCACGCTAAGGCGGCGAAGCAGGTGCGCAGCGACCTCGCGGCCATGCAGCTCCTCGAAGACCGCGAGATCGCCCACGTCAGCGACAGCATCACGTGCAGCCACAATGGCCTTCTCCCGCTCTCGCTCTCGAAAGGCCAAGGCAAGCGGCTTTCCCTGCCGCTCATGGTCTGGCGCAAGCTGCTGCGGTACGTGCACCCGGACGCCGACCGCGTCTTTGGCGCGGGCCGCCCCGCGATCGAGTGCGATACGTGCTTGACAACGGCCAAGCTCGAGCAGATGCAAGTCGAAGAGAAGAAGTCGCAGCGTCTGTTGCGGCACACGGAGAGCGGAGGCGGCGACTCGCTCTACGAGCTGCTCACGCGCAAGACCGGTTACCCGCCAAGCCTTTTGAGCCCCGAGCGCGGTCGCTTTTACATTGTACGTGTTTCTAAAGTGGGAACATATCGTCATATATCTCACCAGGTGCCGCAATCGTGGCTCAAGCGCTGGCGACAATATGTCAAGAGCGTCGTGGACGAAATGCCGGGACCGATTTTGAACGGCGCGCTCCTCTGCAGCCGCCACCGCAAGCCCGTCGTCCCCAACGCGATCGCGCTCTTCCTCATGGGCGCGTCGACGTCGGTGTTGTCGACGATCCCTGGCATCACCTAGTACGGGCAGCCCATTGGATGGCGTTCTCGTGAACTCATGTCCGGCACCTAGCGCACTGTACGAGATTGTCACCGAGACGGAGTGGGACCAGCTCCAAGACAGCTTTTGCGCCGAGGTGGCTGTTGGCTTTGACGTGGTGTGCGGGACCATTGTATGGCGGACGCTGCCGTGTCAAGTGTGCGAAGAGCCCACCGAGAGTCGCCCAAAGAAAGGCAACCGCAACAACAACAGCAACAACAACCGACGCACGGCGCTCACGACGCCGGCGATCCGGCTCTAGGTGCCCTGCGTTGCGGCCACGGGCGGTACCTATGTCTACTCGTACATACACACCCGTGGTTCCCCGATATAACACGATGCACACGCGGAAACCGAGTTGTTGTTCTGGATGAATCCTAGTTCTCAGAGGGGGGTAAACGCCGGGCGCGCTGTAGGAGGAGTGCAACGGATAGCGGCGCCGGCCGATTCGCATACGCAATCACCACAGCGTGGTTGTACGCGCGTCGCCAGAGCTTCCGCACCGCTGCTTGAATGAGCTCGGCACGACGGACGGCCCGCACCTTTTGCATGCGGCGGCGGTTGTGGACCGTGTCGTGGAGCAGGACACCGGCTGCGACGACGACAGACGCCAAGTTGGTCGCAACAAGCATGAGCGATATGGTATCGACGTCGACGATGGCGGCCACCGGTGTGAGCGCCGTCGTCGACGTCGTGTTCATGAGGAGAAGGAACCCGAGGAAGAGTGTGATGAAGAGCTGGAATTGGGTCACGCCAGCCACGAGCGAGTCGGTCCAGGACCGGTACGGCTTGCATTGGAGCGTGAGGGTGAGCGCAAGCAGACTGTACGAGCACATGTGAGCGGTAGCGTGATTCAAGACAGGTACAGTACCAGAGAGCGAGACCCGACGTCGACTGGACGATGTCGTTTCCCTGGAGGAAGACCAGGACACCGTTCAGCAGCACTTTTCTAGATCGAAACGGTGGATTTCGCGTCGCTGCCTGGAAATGTCGTACCGAATCAGATCAAAGACGTCAAACCACCAGAATTCGCTCTTGTCTAATGCATTCGCCATGAGTCGAGTAGTGCGCGTCGCTGACCACATGGTTGTCGTACAATTCTGGTAAATGAGACCCAGCCGCGCCATCACCGCTGAGTCCTAGACGCTTTTGAGATTCGAAGTGGAGACGCGAGTGATCAACCTCGAGGTTCTTTGTCTTCATGTAGTGGCCCAAGTAAGACATCTCGTCGCGGCGTCCGAGCGCGAGGGGCACACATCGTCCTTCGGCCGCCAGCATGGTGCGCATCTCTGCGAGCCACTTTTCGCGCAGCGGTCGGTACGCGCGTGACTCGAGCAGCGCCAAGCGTGTGTCTACGCCGCATGACAGACCCACTACTCTGGTATGTCATGCTGACATACCAATGTGCCGGTGCCGCGCCTTGTAGACGGTGCGCCAAAAGAGAAACGGGACGCCGACGACCCAGACGCCGACGCCGGCGAGCGCGACGCAGGCGTAGAGCGACCACTCGGTCGTGTAGCACTCGAGGCTGCGGTCCTTCACGAGCCAGTAGCGCGCACCGATTTGGTCGCAGTGAAACACGAGCAGAAAGTTCCGCGACACCATGGGGTACAACAGCAAGAGAATCCTATGAACCGTGAGTTGCAAAGTTCGCACGCGCTCCAGATGCGCGCACCCGAGCATCACTTTGACGCATTTGATGCGGTACGATTGATAGAGCAGTCGGAGCTTCACGCGCGCTTGCCAGACGCAGAGGTTGCTCCGGAGGACGCGCGATCGGACGTGGGCGGTGAGCGGTTTGGCCGGACACACGCGGTGCGTTGACCGGTACATGGGCAGTGCCCCGGTGTACGCCTTGGCCGTCGACATGTTGATGGCTTCGCGCTGGAGTTGCCGGGCATGTGACGTGTGCGGGTCAGGCTCCGTGAGCAATGCACGAAGTGCTGTGAGGACGCGGCGGGCGGCAATGGTTCCGTGGGCCGAGCTTACATCGTCGAGCGACAACAAGGTGCTCGCCCGTTGCTCAAGTGACTGCCGCCGGCGTTTCTGGCGGCTGCCACTTAGAGGCTGCGGCATGGACGGTCGCCGCTGGTCGGGCACGTACTTGTCCCAGACTGGAAGGCCACAGCGAGGGCAGCAGCGCGGAATTGTCTTGAGCTTTTCAATGTAGTGGGCCGCGCCACGGTAGTAAAAAATGAAAACAAGCGTAAAGATCAAGACGAGCACGGCCAGCGTCGAACTAAAATATAAAGTGGACCAAAGTCGTCCATGGTAGGAA